AAATTGTTGCATATAATGTGGTTTTGGTGGACTAAAGTCTTACTCGGTAAGTAAGTGGTAGTGTTAAATTTTATCGGTAAGCGCTTACCAGGTAAGTGTTTGGTAAACGACCCCTAAATCAACATTCCTTCCACTAATGGTGACATAAAAATCATTGGTTTGTAGTTCTTTTTGTTTTCGGTTAACATCAAACTAATGACTAGTTCCTGCCATCAGGGATGGATCCAGAAATTTTTCTAAGGAGTGACACCATATAAGTAATATAGTATAATATAGACCCAAAAATAATTACAAAAAATATGACTTTTATAGAACTGAGAAACAACTCTTAATTTTTGTCCAATATCTCATTTTTGAAAATGGTCAATAAATATATGACCAAAAATACAAAAAGTATGCTTTTATGGGATTGAGAAACAACTCCTAAAACTGTGTTCGGCATGGATATTTGCAACCGCTACAACTACTAACTGAAGTTGATGGCAAAACAATGTATATAAATGTCATCATTATCACTCAAGATCAAAACTTTCAACCATTAAACTTGCCACTGTTATTACTAACATCATCATAACCTTGTCGTCTTACCTATTTCAAAGATAAATTTAGGACTCAGGAGGTATCCAAAAATTCAATGATATATTTAAGAAATAAAGTAGATAAATTAAAAAAAAAAAAAACCTTTTACCTTTGTGAAACACAATGCATATTTTGCAAATAAAGCATCAAGGGCAGATTTAAGACTTAAAGCAGATGCATTATTACCGGCCGGTAAGCTTTTTGTTCCAAATTTTTTCCATATCAACACTAAGTAATGAAACAATTAACTGTAAAATGTAAATGAAACAATAAACAGCGCAATGAGAAAACATAGACCAAAATACTAAAAATCAACATCTATTAAAAATTCATAATTTTATGTTTATAACAATGACAAAATGTAATAAGTATGTAAAACTGTAAGTCAAGATCAACTAATCAAGGAATCAACATCAACTTCAACTGATCAAGTAATGTGAAATACTAAAAGAGTAAAATATATACATAAATCAGAAAACAGAGACCAATTGAGTTGATCGAGTCGCGAAGTGAGTTGAACGAAATCACTGAGTTGATCGAGAGCATTTGTCTTCAATTTCTGAAATCGCACCAGTCGCACTCTGAATCTATTCTTTTGGTTCGACTTAGACGCCGATTTGGGTTTAGTTTGGATAAAAGGCGTCAACAAAAATAGAGAAGAAACCATGAATCTGGCATGCCTCGATGCGTGACCTGCATCGCCATGTTCTAGGCAGTCGCTAGTCGGTCTTGGGCAACCAATCGTGCTTTGGATGAGGATCAGCGAGCTGCCCGTCAGCAAAAATAGAGAAGAAACCATGAGTCTGACATGCCTCGATGCGTAACCCGCATCACCATGTCCTAGGCACATCTGGTCGCTAGCCAGGCTGGGACAACCAATCGTGCTTAGGATGGGATCAGCCCGCAACACCACATCCTTGGCACGTCTCGTCGTTAGTATTGCTTGGCAACTTAACATGCTTCCAACAAGGATTAGCGGACAGTTGGGGCCTCAGTAGCGTTGCAAGGCTCACAACGCCCAATTCATGGACCCTTTTCATCGATTAGGGGTCATACCTCTTGGCTATACCCATATTACCATGTATTAGTCACGTCTGGTCACTAGCCAGGCTTGAGCAACCAATCGTGCTTCAAACAAAGATCAACGAGCTGCCCGCCTAGGTGGTGTGCCTCAGCCCACAACAACACGTTTCTTGGCACGCCCCGTTGCTACACAATGGGACCTGTGTTAAACAAGGATCAACTGGACGATGGGGCCTCGGTAGCGTTGCAAGGCTCACAACGCCCAATTCATGGGCGACTTTTCATCAATATAGCGTCATTCTCGTTTACTGAAGAAACATGCCAGGGGGGAGTCCATTGATTTCATATAGCGACTCATGCTCCTACTAGTGTCTCCCAATCAGTGACTTTACATAGTAACTCATGTACTGACTTGTGTCCTAATCGGTGCCCTCAGACACTATACCTCCTATATATACCTTATGAACAAAAAACAAAGTGACATGAACAAACGTTGATTTTTTGAAATAGGCACATCGTCTGGCCGATGCATGGGCAACGGTGGACACGACGTGCGGGGAAACTAGGCCACGGTGCTAGGAAACCATGCCGCGTGTGGGTAAGGGGCATCCCGTGTGGGAAAACTCGGCCACGACATGAGGAACGGTCGGCCTGTGCGAGGAACGGGCACACAGTGTGCGGGGAACGTACGCATGACGTGTAGAGAACGAGCTTGGGGAAAGGGGTTTAATTTAGATAAGGCCGGATTTGGGTTCAATTTGAGCTTGGGGCTTTGGGGTTCGACTTAATTTGAGAGGGTTTAATTGATCAATGACAGTTGGGTTACTTAGTTTTGTAGATCAGAATCATTAGAAATTTAGAATTTCGAATGTACTTGAATTAATAAACTAAACTACTTGTTTTCAATTTTCAGTCGCACCCTTTCAAGTTTTTAAAATAATATAGTTGTACCTTCTAAAACGATACGGTTGCACCTTTCACGAACCTAAATTTTATTACCCTTCAACGGATGAATAATATGATGGCACGTACCATCCATGGCACCACTACAGGTTAGTCCCTGCCTGCTACTAATTTTCATGCATCTTCTTAAACTTGTGGCAAACTGTTTTATTTTCTTTTTATAATATCATATATGTTTTAAACGAATAGTTATGTACCATAAAATGTAGTGGGATGTATGATATTATCGTAAATCAAGAATCGATAAAATAATAAATATTCCACATTGAAAAAGAAAATCTAAACTTTATGAAATATTCTATTGTATCATGATAGTAGGACTTTATGCTTATCATGTATTTAAATACGTTTATCAATTATTATTAGTTAAATCTTATAAAAATCAAAAAGTTGTATATATTTAGCAATAAATTGTAAACTTTAACAATAAAAATATTTTAAAAATATATATAAATGCTTTATCTATACCATATTATAAATCTTTTGATAAAAACTCTTAAAAATCGATTTTTATGCATGAAGTACTGTTTATTAATGCATATTACTTAAAATTCAAGMTTACAAGTAAATTGTTCGTAAATACAACTTATTAAAACTTCATGTTTAAATTCATGTAATCAACTGCAGATAAATATAATTAAATAAAGAATAAACATCTTATTTTAAATATGAAAAATCTAAAATATAATTAGGATAGCTATTGACTTTTAACAAAATACTTAATTATTTTTATAAAAAGTTATATTATGAAACCGAAAATAAAAAAATGAATTAAAAATACACAAAAAATGGAAAAAATTTAAATAGTTAGTTTGCTATTAATATCAATATTTTTTCTCAATTTTTTTTGTGACATCTTCATATTTATATTTTATTCAAAACCGTATTATAACCACATAAAACCATATTACAACATCGACCGAGACAACAAAAAAAAAAGTACAACGAAACATTAAAATCAAGATTTATCTTGCTATATTGTGCGAATACTTTTCTGCTAATTTAGTAAAGATAATATGTAACTTTTATTTAAAAGAAATTAAGAAAAAAATATTACATTGAAAAATATAAAATAGCATATAAAATGCCCTATTTTTCTATTCAACAAAGACATACTTGGGAATATTTTGATTTGACCATAATTTCAATTTCTATGATATAATGCTTCCAAGTCGATGGGTATGATGACAATCAAAGTCATCAATGTAATTCTAAGTGGAAATTCACAATCATAATTGTCATCAATTTTTTGGTTATTTACGATAAGTGACAAATTTCAAGTTTTTTTTATATTGGATGTTTATTCATGTCACATATTTTTTTTTATTGAAGCGTGTGATTAGAGATGGTCAAATGAGTTCAACCCGGTCCAGGACCGACGAAGGACCGTTTAGGATCGGTTATACTTTTTATCAAAAAAATAAGTTTCGGTTTGAATTTTCAAAAATATTATTGTTATATCACTCATACCCAATGGCCATATGACCACTGTTTTCAAATTTTTAACTGTTTTTTTGTCTCATTTATCTTTTATTCACTATATATAAGTCATAAGGTGTATGAGAAAACATATCGACTTGTATTCTCGCAAAAAAAACATATTTTTTAAGTATATTTAATTGACCCTATTACACATTTTTCGAGTGTATTAGAATAACACTTTTGTATTCTTTAAAAAAACTTTAAAAAAGAAAATTATGTAAAAATCGATTTAAAAAAAATACCTTAACCAGGACTAGGTTTTTGGTCAGGACCGGGACCGAGACCGGGACAAGTTACGGGACTAGTGTTTGGGACCGAGACCAATTTGGGCCTGGCCGGCCTGGCCAAAGACCGATTTTTGGCCATCTCTATGTGACAATGTAGCCCAAACTTATGATCTAAGGAGCCGAAAGTTGAATCACAGAGTTGTATTATTGGTCGTCGTATTATGACAACTACATTAATAGACAAACAACAAAAGTTATACTTCTAAAACAAGGATATGAGTATTTGCAAAACGAGTGGCATCAAGGGTAACACATTTCTTACTTTATGACGGTAACAGATTCATCAGACCAGTTGAGACAATCTCGTTCCATGGGTCTGTTGAGGGATAGTATTGTATTAAAACTACTTTAGGTAACGGTTCCATAAGCTCTAGATTTTTTTTTCAATTATGCCCCTTGTAACTTTAGGTAATATTACATTGCCAAACTTATCAACTAGTTTTACGGAACATGACTAACTTGTCGGCTAGCTTATCAAACAGCTTGTCAAAGATATCCTAAGGAGTCGATTGTTTAATCCAAATCCCAAACACCCGACACTTGTTGAGCTATTAGAAATTTATCTAAGAGGTAGTTTACACGGTCAAATTATTGATAGATAAATACAAAGTAAACACGATAATGCGTTGTAAGCTCATTATTCGTGTTTTGATTCTCAGCGTCATATCTTAACCATCAACATCATTATATTCATATTTCAAAATATTTACATATACAAGACACAAATGAACATCATAATGGCCATTGTAGGATCAAGTAGCCTCTCTTGCAGACAGATTCTACTTCCATTCCACAAAGAAAGACCACCCCTACTTTGACACCAATCATCAAGTTCTACACCACCTTGATCAATAAATATGTAAACTTAGGAGCCATTTACTAACACAAATTCGGTAAACACTAATCGAGTAAGAGTGCTGTCTGGGTCAACACTAAATCCCTTGAGCTAACCAGGTTAACATCATGGGCCGATAAGAGGGGCTTGGTAAACAGCAACATCTCTGACAAGGTAATAAGAGCCTCTTCCAGTAAGCAGCAGGTAGTATATAACCCCTTATTTAGTCTTAGGATCATAAACATAAAGAACTTTATACAGATCTCATTTTTCACCATGAAAAACATGAGAAATCAACCAAATCAAACTTGGATTCAATGGAATAATCATAAGTATGAACGATCATAGAGAGTACCTCCGCCTCTTGTTTGGCAGCGTTGTTCTTGGGGAGTATTCAGGCGAGAATGGCGCTTTTTCTATAACGGAATTAAGAGCTTCACGAACAAAGCTAACTAGATCTTCATCTGTTGTGGCAGTGGTGGTTCGGGTGAAATAAAAAACGATCTTCATATGGTCTCCTAAAGCTGACAATTCTGCCCTCTCGATGTTAACTTTGAGGGCATCAAGGGCTCGTCTTAAATCAGTTAGGAGCTCGGGCCGGCGCTTACAACAGATAGACGCACGGAAAGTCAAACCTCCGTTGACTTTTTCAATTATGAGTTCATCGACATCTTCTGGTATGAGTAAACCAATACTGGCTTCTTTTGCGTCTGTTTTCAATTGCTTTACATGGCGAATAACTTCAGCGAGTAATGTGGCTTTGTCCATCTGTTAAAAGCAACATAGATCTTAGTATCCTTCTACAAGGACAGATACTCTGTCTTCTACATCAAACCGACTATGTTTTAACTTCAAAATTGAATGTAAGAAAGCATAAATCAATATGTAGAAAATTCTTCCATTCTTTATATGGTTGGCTTTCCATTAAGTCCTGTATGGATTAATTTCTATGTATAAATAGGAGGGTTTTGTTTGGAGGATCTTTTTCATAGATGGAAAGAGCATGTTTTTTAATTGGAAGGGACAAGTTCGAACAAAAAAACTTGGCTTTTTGCATAAAGACACCCTAGAAGCTTACCAAATAAGCCACTTTCCATGTCAGTAACGTGTACAAGAGAGAGGTTAATGGATTTTCATAGAAAACAAATGAATTCTATGGGTTGTAAGTATTCGGATACATGGTTGTGTTATTGGTTCTACAATAAAATCAAATATTTATCTACAATAATTGTACATATACAAGATCATACATCATCCACATTTAAATATTATACCCTGAAAAAAAAACAATCTTTACCATAACAAGTGACATGTAGCAACTCATGGTAGTTATCAAATGCAATTTTCAAACATCATGTTTGTAATATGATAATGGACATATAGGTAATTTTTAACTTAACTAAAAACGGAATTAAGACATAAACAACTACGTTTATAAAAAGAGATCAACATCAATCTGCGTTTTTACAAATAGAAATAAAGATTGTTTTTGGCCGCCACCAGAAGTTTACTGCGGTATGATAGTGACACAATTGTAATCGGTGGAGCAGTTAAAACGATTACAGGAACAATGACAACAATAGATAAGTTCTATTTAACAAATGGGGCTGAAAATGACTTTTGAGTTCTTGATTTTTCAAACTTCTTTTACGTGTAATGCTAGAGATTTGTAGCGTTGTTAAGATATTAAATCTCCCTTTGATTAGGAATCTTCACAAAAGGTCAACTCTTGATCCCCTCATGGCTGTTAAAGTGTCGAGTCATGACTATACAAAAGGGCTGACATTAATCTGTTCAGACAGATTTCTTTTTAAATTCATGACCTTTTGATAGATTCAATAACATCTCTGGCTAACAAAAGAAATGTTCTTCCGAACACAAGAATGCCTTAAATTCAATTAGAAGGCCATGCATTTTAAAAAAACAAATCATCAGAACCTTGTTCTCCTAAATAACCCATTTGATCTTTTAGAAGCAAAAGATAAGCAGTGAAAAACTATTAAGTTGTATGACAACAGAATCAGCCCATAACACCTTGGCTCATGTGAACCATGTGTGTTTGATCGATCATTCTTAGTATGAGATCAAGCGAACGAGTCAAACCGAACTTCTTAATTGATATTCATAAAATGGTCATACTTCAATCATTCAAAAAATCCAAATGTCTAGAAGTAGTACATGGTAACCAAATCAAGCATCAATTCCAAGCATGAAATAGAAGTTTTCTTCTCTATTTGTCCAATGGCAACTACTACCTCTTTCCAGAATTAGAAATCCCTCCAACTTTGGCAGCCAAAAGGGTCATTTTTGCATCAGAATTCAGAAAAACAAGCAGTGTGACATCAAAGATCAATTGTGGCTCAATTTAGTACTAACATGCAATTTGAAAACATAGATTATTGCAGAAACACCTAATTGCACATAAAGATTCACATAATGGTATCAAGATTCATATGATCAAATTACAATGGCCGAAAGAGGTTAGATAAAAACCTTATCAGTGCAGGGAACAAGACCTCGAAAGGTGTGAAGATGAGCATTAATCCTTTCCCTTCTCCTTCTCTCTGCATCACTGTGACTCTTCAAAGCAGCCATGGCTTTCTCATCAGACTTCAATCCGATTTTCTTTCCAATGACTTTGCCATCAGCCTTCACAAGCTCTCCTTTCTGCTCATTTAACACCAAAGATTGTGAAGATTTCGTGAAAACGCCATCAGCATTTCCACAATCCCTACTAAACCCATCTGAGTTCCCCAAAGATCTATCATTCCGATTGGATCCCAAGTTCGAAAATTTCTGATTCCATGTATAAAAATCCATCTTTCCAAGTACCCTTTAAAGCTATATGTATATATCTTATACTAGGTGTATTTGTGTGCGATCGTGAGAAGTAAAGAGAAATTAAGGGAGAAAAAGATGACGAATTTCTAAGGGTCGAGACCAGGAGGACGGATGGTGGGTGCAAACCAGAAAGAAACCATACGAAGGGGGAATCTGATGAGTTTAACAACTGAGAGAGATGATGTTGATTTTGTGTTCATATTTTCTTCCATTTGAGGGTAAAAGACAAGAGGGTTTGGTTTTAGAGGAAGGATTTTATAGAGAGAACATCCACATTTTCTTCTTTATGGTCTTGAATCCGAGCATTTCGATGTGTCTAGGGGGTTGGATTGAATTAAGTCGTTTTTTCTTGGAGACCCAGTTGGGGAAATCGATGATAAATATATAAAGACTGAAGGTTGGATTCAAGAATCAAAAGAGGTTGGAAGATGTGTGCTTTGGGAAAAGAGACGAAGTAGACAGATGGGTTTTAAAAGATTTCTTCAGAAAAGTTGGAGGTGAAACAAGAGCTCTTTTGTAAGGCTGATCAAATCTTCCTTCCACACACACACACATATATGTATATATAGGGAAGGGTTCAAACGAGAACTCTGTGATTTACGAGAATGCGAGAACAACCCAATAACCACATATTGTGATAAAAAATAAAATTAAAAGATTTTTAAAACTAAAATTGAAATTTAAAAAGATTCAAAAAATATTAAAATTAAAAGGGTAATAATGGAAATGATATCATAAAATCTTTTAATACGATTACACGATCATTATTATCATTATCTAATAAACGGTTAATCATGTGATATGGGTGTGATAATCATGTGATTATCACACAATTATCACATTATCGCTT